CTGGTTTTAGCAAAGGTCTTAATTTTAGATAGAATTTAAACTAGTATGGATTTCCCCCCCCCCCAAAAAAAAATTGATATGCTTTTGTGAATATCAAGAACATTTGCATTGGCTTTCTCTTATTCTTTTGGTAGTTGTCCATGATGTTCTTAGGAGGGCAATGTTGAGTTCATATTCCCGAATAGTTGTGCTGAGGGTAGTTTTAAATTTCATCTGAGGTGGGGTGGAGTCTGTTATGGAGAAGAGTGATGCCAAAAGACTAGACAAGGCTGCAGCCAGCTTCGGTTTTGAAGAAGAGCACGTGGCTCTGTGTTGTGATTTGCAGCTCATTCAGTGTGTCCCTTGGCATCTGGTGAAAGCAGAAAGACACCAGCCTCTTACCTTCATCTGCCTAGTAAATTCATAGTGGTTACTTGTGTTCTAACCACAGCTTTGGTACAGGGGAAGTTAGGTGTATGAAGTAAGAGTCTGATGTGTGTGCTATCTACTCTGATAAGAGAACGCTACATTCCACTGTGTTCCCTTATACTTGCTGTGTTCTGCCCTGCCTAAGGCACAGTCTAGCATGCCTTGAACCTCTGGAATAGTAAGGAACTTAAACACCATGAAAACGTAAAAGCCTCTGACTTCTTCAGACTAATGCCCAATTGCAAGTATTATATTGAGCGCTTTTGGAAAGAGGAATTAAATGTGTGTGACCAAACCCAACTAATGGTGTTTTCACTGAATATTGAGAGCCCAAATGCCAACTGTAGCTTCAAGATTGTACAACCACGCTGATTGCAATTGAGTCACTGATTTTACTGTTATTGAGTGGCTTCTATAGAGCTGTAAAATTCTCAGGTTTCCAGGTTGGAGAAAAACGTGGCTACAAGCATAACCATTATGTGGCTGTATGAGAGGACTCTTTTATAGTTGTAACTGTTGGAGGTGACTTATGGGGCTAAATATGTTTTCTGTTCTTGGATGGGGTCATCAGATGGATGAGTTCAGGATGTCTGCGGGTGTGAACCTGCTCAAATTAATTCTTGATCCTCTGCATTTCTTTTAATCAGTGATCTGCAAGACAACATTAAAATATTACTGATAAATTTTGCAGATGAGAAAAGGAGCAGGACAGCAACTGATCCAGGGGACAGGCGCAGGAGATACAGCAGCCTGGGTTTCCTGCTAAGCTTCCCATTTTTCAATAGACCCATTTAGCAAACCAGTGTGCAGGTTGCAGTTACAAATGAATGACTCCTTCCTGGGAATTATTGGCAGTGAAAGAGGGATTAATAGTTAAATCAGTTAAATGTGCTTTGGCCCTGGACTTGGGGCATATGAATAATAACAGGTAATTTTGTATCTGAAAGCTTGATTAATTTAAGATTAAGGATAAGTAGTTTGGGATTTTTATGTAAGCTCTTTCACTGACTTTAAGTACGAATTTAAGTTTAGGCTTTGCAAGGAGGTCTGGCTTTCTGTCTGTTTTCAGATGGAGGAGGGTGCATCTGTATCACCCTTTTGGTTGGGAGTGGTCTTCTGAGGCAAAGCTCCTAATTATCCCTAGTTACTGCACTTCAGTAATGCACTCTGTGTGCTACAGCTGCTCACAGGCTTTTTGTGAAATCAGACCAGAGTCAGTCAGCAGTAAATCCCATGAAAATGAGGTAATACGGATCTAGGATACTTGGCACCAACTATTTCACTCTGCTTCTTTCAGTGTGCAATGTCTGCTGGGATAACCTTAGTGATGTGTGCCACAGGGGATATGGCTAACATCTCAGAACTGCTGCCCAGCTCCTGTCTTGTGCATAGGTTGCTGCTTCAGTTGCTGTGCAGAGCCGCTTCAGTTGCTGTGCACAACCACTTCAGTGCTAGTGCTGCCTTGTACTTAATGACCTGCTTGGTGCCCAGTTCCTGCTGAAATCTTAAAGATCTGAAGTGGGATTGTCAAAGTAACTTTACTCCTGCTTCTCTTACAAGTAAGGATTTACCCTTTAAGTGCTGTCAGATTTGGGAGCCCCTAGTGTGTTCTCAATGCTGACATTCAGGTTGCTAACTCCTCTCATACGCAGGTCTCTGCTGAGTTGGAGATAGCTTTGAGTCAAATATATATCATTTATGTCCTTGAGTGAGGGAATGCTTGTAGTGAATTGGAACCCTTTGCTAAAAGCTGTTATAGTTTTGCAAATTCTATCATAACATTTCAGCTATATATTTTACTCAAGCTCAGCAAAATCAGTTCAGACTCCCTTATCCTGCAAAGTATCCTGCTTTAGGTTTGCCTTTGAATTAGTCCTGCTGTTAAATGCACGTTTTCCTATGGAGCTTTTCCCACTTTATGAAGTTGGGATTTTGATCAGAAAGAGAGACTGAATAATGTGAGACTTTTAATAATTTTTCTTTTCTGACAGAAAGCACAAGTGAGTGCACTATATTTTTGTGCTAATACATACAGATACATACTTGAACTAGTGGACCTTCCAGGAGGCACCTGCTCCTTTTCATAACAAGTTTATTGATGAACGGGAGCCAGAATGCACTTTTGGAGAAAGGAAAGAGTAGGTATATATATCTAGTCTAATTGTACAGAGAGCTGTCCTTAGCTCATTAGTTTATGCTGGCTAAGGAGGATTCATTAATTTAAGCCATTCCCTACATGCTTTTCCACTGAGTTATATATTATTTTTGTGCTTCTTTCTCAGACCAGACTTCCAGGGAAGGTATGAGTTGCAGGTTTTCACTTGGAAATTTTGATTTTGTTATACAGTTGTATAACAAACAACTATATGAAGAATTGAGGCTCCAGCTGATCTTGGATTACCTTATGCTTTCTTGAAAACGTTGCTGTGGGGATAGAAAGAAAAGGAGGAGAAAGACAAAAATTTTCTTTCCACTTGACAGAGCTGAAATAATTTTCCAAAGGCTGTGAACTGGAGCTTGTGGACAACCAGAAAAATCTCCACTCTCAAATCTTTTATTTAGAACAATATTCCACGCCCATATTAAGCTGTTTTGCAAAGGTTATTTGGCAAGAGATTTCAAGTTTCCTCTGGGTTGATTTTCACAGTTCTGTGATGAAGGCTTTATTTGGGCATCAGCAGGAGGATGACGTGAAGCCTTTCTGTGGGGGTATAGGTAGACCCATTGGTGTTTCTAGGAATGGAAATTGCTGCTCTGGCTAACATATTTCTGTGCTCAGAGGGAGGCAAACCAGCTCTGTAACATGCAGTATAAGGGAAAAACAGTTCTAGAATCACAGAACCATCAAAATGGGAAGGGCCCTTGAAAGATTACATGGTCCAACCTTTCATTGGGAAATGGAGTCTAGATAAGATTATCTATTTCCTTGTCCAATTGCATCTCAGAAACCTCCACCTCCATCTCAAAAACATGGACTCCACCACATCCTTGGGGAACTTGTTTCAGGGAATGACTGTTCTCACTATAATTTTTTTTATACCAGGATGAAACCTCTCACAGTGCAACATGTACCCATTGCCCCTTGTCTTCTCCATGTAGCTCCATGTGAAGAGAGACCCTCCATCCTCTTTGCTGTCTGAGTAGCAGCATGCTATGCAGTTACAAGCCCTGAACCCTCACAATGTAAAGTCTGGATATGTGGTGGAGCATGATGCTCTGCAGTGCAGTGCAGCAGGGTCAAATGGACAAAATATTGACATTTTGAGCCATGAAGCATTCTGTCATAAGCTTCTGATATATAAAAGTCTTCACGAAAATCACTTGCCTCTTAGACTGTCAGCTACCTAGAGCTGAACCATAGCAAATCACTGGCCTTCCCTAGTGAGGAAAGCTAGCAAATAGCACTGACAACCCTAGTTTGTTTTTTTTCCGAGTTGTTTCCTCTTCTGCTAAGATTACAGTGAAAACTTTTTAAAAAAGCTAAAAAATGTAAGCACTTCTGTGAATGATTTCATGGGTTTAAATAAAATCTCCCCTTTCACAGAGAACACCTATATCGAGCATTTTAGTAGTTACTAATAACTGATGTTTTTCTGCCTTCCATTTGCAACTCTTATGCAGCCACTAGAAATGGCATCAGTCTCTTTAGGCTTCTCATTAAAATAAATGAAAAATGTATATATTATTATGCTGTAATGAGATCATTCTGCAACATGTATTTTACATACATCTACTATGTATAAAAACTCATGTGAGTGTTGCTTTTTCTTTAGAGAGCTAATTCCATGTGGGGTTTGGAAAGATAGGATGTTCCTGTCCAGTAGATGTCTAGTGCTTTTTGTCTAGGATGTTAGTTGCTGAGTTTGCTGTGATACAGAATTTTTGCTTAATACAACTTTTAACAACCTTACCAGCTCTGAAATTTCTAGGTGAGCTGAGTAATAAGTATTCTGGGGAAACGAATGTGTAAGAGGATATGCTGTGTAACTGGGGAAATGAGAAGTATAATATTCACTATATATATATATATATGTCATACTGGAATGACTCAAGTCGGACTTCAGCTAGAAGGGAGGCTCTAATACTGCTGTAAATGTAGCACAAGGGTATTTAGTAACTGGAAAGAGATGCCAAAATTTTCCATGCAGAAGTTAGGTAACTGTTGGGTTTTAGGAGGCCTGCTTTTCATGGTTAAGGTTTGGTGCTGAATTTTCATATAGCTCAAAATTGATTTTTGACAGAGTTCTCTGATTTCTGTATGTGTTGGCGATCAGTACGTTATTCCTTAGAAGAGGTTGTAAAGGAGGAATTTTCCTTTGCTGAATCTTCATTCCGTTCTTATGCCACCCAAAAGTGAATGGAGGTTTAAATTTTTCACTGTTTCTAAGGTTTTCTGAAATAAAATCAGGCTTTCTGTCCCTTCTGTAAGTAAAATAGAGTCACTCCCGGTGCATCTGTTGGCTGGTAAGATGAATGGCTTGCCTTGGACCATCTGAGAGCAGCAGGATCTCAGGTGTGATGGGTGGTCATTAGAGAAGGTGTGCCAAGGCTCTAATTGATACAGTCCTTTCTCTTTTGGTTGCTTTCACTAGGAAACTGCTGGAAGAATGCTGTGACCCTGCACAACTCTTTGCTATGACAAAGCGGAATTCCCCAATGGGAAAGAACCTCTGGTTTGATGGGGAATTTTTATATTCTGTTACTATTGACAACGTGACTTACTCCCTCTTCCCACAGGTTAGTAATCTTTTTTTCTTCTCACTTTAAGTAATAATATACTAAATAGTAACATGGTACAAGTGAGTAGGCTAAATGTTCATCAAGAAATTGTATCTTCATGTCTCAATACAAAACAGCCTCTTCTGCTTTCTTACTTCTTTGTTGTGAAAATCATAAAATGTTTGTATGCATGTTAATACTTCCATGACTACTTTTCAAGTGTGCAGATATACACAAAGGGTGAGATTGGGCTACCAGTTTTGATGTTTAAAATGCTAAGCTTTGTCTATTTTAGGAAGGTGATTTCTACACTTCAGTCAGTGATCGTGCTCCCTGGGAGCATGGTCCCTCACCTCGGATTGCTTCAGATTTATTTAGCTAAGGTGTGACATTGCTTTGTGGGAAGGTGTGTGAAGTCAGTTCCAAGTGAATGAAGTTTATTGATGGCATGCAACGTGAGCTCAGTATCAGAAGCCAGCAACTTGACTTTGTTGATTCCTGCTGTGTTTTGAGTATTAAGATTGGTTTGTGGTTGTTCAGCAAAGGTGTTTTGGGTTAACCCTCAAAACTCCAGCAAAGGGCAGAGTTTTTGAGTGCTGGGAATTTGCAATACTGGCCTAAGCTTCTTGTATTTTTAATTAATACATGAACTGATGTTAAAAAATGAGTTTATTTTATTCAGTTTTGCTCGTGGAAGGGGAGATGTTTTATGTGGCTACACATTTATAGAAAGACAAACATCTGAATGTATTAATTTATGTTTATTCTAATTTATCAAATTAAAAGCATAGGTATTTATTAAGCCTCCCAGTCAGTGTTGAGTCATTCACACTGGGCTTTTCTCATTTGTTGTTGTTTCAGATAAACATGTAGCAGAGTTCTTGTTAAACTCATCCTGCAAATAAAACATCCAAAAGGTAATTAAAAGAAAGGCCAGCAGAGTAACAACTTCAAATGTTTGTTTTAGTGGAGATAGAATGAGAAGAAAATGCAGAGTGGGAAAGAGGACATGGGAGCAGCCGCTTTCTATGTTAAAACGTCATCAGGAAGAGGGGTTTTAGAGCTGTGTCTCATTTAGGCTGCCAGCCTGCTGTCTTGTCACGTGGCTCTGCCTGTTGCAATGAACTGGTTAATGGACCTCTACCTTCTCCAAGCTGCTCCCCAGCTGCTGTGTCCATGCAAGCTCAGCAAACAAGTAGATGCTGAAATGTGCATGGCGAGTGTTTTTTTTCCTGCTGTACAGCTGAAAGGGGGCTGCCTGTCTGGAGTGAATTTCAGTCCCTGCGTTTGAGACTGGTAGAAAGTTTGTGGTGTGTCAGAGAGAGGCAGCTGTAAATCCTTTTTGTGATGATTAGTAGGATTTGTTGATACAATATTGCACTGTTTATTGGAGAAAATGGAAAACTTTGGCAGAGCTGTGAACTTTGTACTAAACAAAGATATTGGCAGTGACTGCTCAAAATGTGTACATCCTTCCCAACGTTTCAGAAAAGCCTCATGTGGGATGGCACAGTGAGGTCACTATTTTGTGTTGGATTTGGGATTTCAGATTTGGCTTTCTTTGCCACACTGGTGTCCTACTTCCTCTCACAGGGAAGAGCAAAGTATTGGATGGGCTTTCAGAGAGGTTAGAGAGGAATCATGTTCTGTGGAACTCCAGTGGTTCCCAGGCTCCCAAAGTTTATCAGTTGATTGGATTGAGAGTGAGGATCTGGAAAGCCTGGGGAAGGCAAACTGCTGAGAGACAACCTGAGGTAAGGATTTGGGACTTCAGTGTTCCTTAGGCTTGCCAAGCAGGCTGCAAAGAGGATGGATGGGTAGGTGCAGTTGTAGGGGTGGTGGTGGAAAAGGTGATTTCATAATGTTCCAAGCTTAGAAAAATGCTAGAAAGCAGCTCGAGGACTGGTGCCAGAAACACTATTCCTTTAATGAATTGACAGGCAGTTAATTTCTGACAAATGGTACTTGCTACTATTCCCTCTTTTCTTGCAAGTACCACTGCTCCTAACTTGATGTGTTATTCCTATGTATTTTGCCCAGAGGAATTTTGTAGACCTTTCACAGATTAAACCTTCTAGGCTTAAAACCTCAGAAAGATTTATTTGCAGTAAATTCTTAAACGAAGTATTTTTCTACCTCTCTCTTTGTTTCAAGAAAAATGCCTAAATTTTTCAGTCTTCTACTTTGAAGAATGGTGTCTATTAGCTCGCTAGCAACCGGAAAGTGATTTTTGTGAAGATGAATATTCCTTTCAAAAGTATCCAGAAGCTTAAAACCACTCATAAAATATGGGTAATACCCTGAAATGCTCAGGGGAAGTAACAGGAATGTAAAGGGCTGCAGCTATGTTGATATAATCGTGAAAATATTTCCTCCGGAATAAATAAAAAGGGCTCTATCCACATCAATCTGCTGGACTTAAGCCATTTTGTGCTTGCAGAAGATTTCTCAGTCCTGAACCGTTTATTAACTTACAGGATAAAGTAACTGAATTACATAGCAAAGTTGCTATATTTTATGGCAGAGAATAAGCTGGCTGTGCATGAAGAGAGACTTATACAGAAGTAATCTAAGTATGCCAGAAGTTAATATGTAAAATGCCATTTATTTTTGAATCTGAACAGTGCAAAATAGAATATTTTTTCTTCTCAGTAATCTGTAGCTCTCTCAGTAATCTATCAGCTCTTGCAGCTGGTTCAACATTTTCTGATGGAGTGCTTTTTCTATAAAAATGCTATTTTGTCTAAATATAAATTTAGTATCAGCTCATTGTTTTTTTCAGTTTTTCTTTGAAGTGAAAAGGCTAAAAGGTTTTGATAGTGTTATGGCATTTAATTTTACCATTTTTTGAATGTAGTATTTCATCCGTGTGGATGTTTTTTTTTATCAGCTCCATTGCTACCTTTTTTTTTTTCCCCTCAGACTTTGCTTGATTATATTCTTCCTCCTTTTGTTTTTTGTTTAAGTTTTTGGTTGGCCAAGGGATAAATTTGCAGAAGAAAAGAGCTTTATTATGGAAACAGTAATCCAATGTTTCATTTCAGTTTATGAGAGCAAAATTTGAAGTTGCAGAGTTTTTTATGAACGAACAATTCCAGCTACTGAATCACAGCATGGCTGGAAAGGACCTTAGAACACATCTAGTTCCAAACCCTCTGCCATGGCCAGGAACATCTAACATTAGTCCAGGTTGCTCAAAACTCTAAGTGGGTCCTCTTACTCTCCCCCTCTCCGTGTCATTTCCTCCCTGATTTCTAGAATGTGGGTTGTTGTTTTTTTTTTTTGAGACAGAAATGAAATATTACACAGACTGCACTATCTTTCCCATCCTGGAGAGAAACTGCTAGTGGCTCAGTGTCAATACCTAATGGTCAGGAGAAGTCTGGTGCAGGACACGGATCATCACAGAAAATGGCCTAGCATGCAGTGAGGGTGGGCATCCTGCCTGCATCATCTCCCTACAATGTCATTGCCTGGAGCTGTTGGATAATGGAATTTAATTTCAATTAAAGTCAGACATTTCTTGACAGCAGCTTTGTTTTATTACTTGATGTGATCTACAGCATTACACTCTTAGGAGACAAAAAGTATAGAGTCTGCATGTAACCGTAGGTGTAGTTTAATACTAATAATGAGATATTATTCCTACTGTGTACCTACCACTTTTCTAAAGCATTTCATGTAGACATGAAATTTCAATACTAACCAGTAATTTTGATAGGTGTCTGGGGACACTGACAGAGATGCAGGTGAACCTACTACAGTTGAGTTCAGCAGCATGGTCGGATAAACCTCTGAATAGCCAGGCTGCCATGTCTTAGGTTGACCACTAAAGGCCATGGGTAACTTACAAATGTATTTCCTTTCCCTTGTTGTCCAACTGTCAGACAGAAAATGGATCCATGTGTTGGTGAATGTTCAGGAGTCCTGTCCCTGACAGGACAGAGATATACACCTTCCTTGCTCTTCAGCTTGGAGGTTTAGCTGTGCAGCTCTGGTCCTGTTGCACTGTATTAAGGCATGATTAGCATCTTCCATCCTTTAGATGGAAAATGACTAACGATCCTGACTAGAATGGAAGAAATCAGGCTTCTATATATTCCTACAGTAATTTTTAGATGCTATGGGTAAACATGATGTAACCACAAGAACAGCAGGGATGTAACTCAAGACCATGTGAGAGAAATGTGAACTAGCACTCCTCAGCTTTTGAGTTAGGGCAAAAATCCAAGCCTCAGTTTCAAACATTTTCTAGAACAATTTTGCACTCTTTCCTGTCTTTTTCTTCCACAGTCTCAAAAGCAAGCTTCAGACTATCCTTACTATTAAAGGAAAAAAATAAACCAAACCAAGAACCACCTCACCCCAGGATTTGGCTGTTTATGCAAATAATTGATTTCTGTTGCTTGTTGTCAAAAGCTGGTAGCAAGGAAGAACTGAGGTGAATTTCTGAGGCCTCCTTTCCCCTTCCCCAAAAGGTTAAAGAAATAGCAAAATCAAATGGAATTTTTCACTCTGCCATGTAAAGTATTATTTTGGAGGGTAGAAGAGTGAATACATTTCAAAAGACATTTCCAATGTTAAGCTTCAACTTTTTAATTTGACAAAATAATTGAAAAATTTCTGGTTTTATTATATTTCACGAGGAAGAGTTGGACAAATTTGGTACCAGTAAATTATCTGAAATTATTAAAACGTGGCTCCCCAGCTGCTCAAGTCCCTTCTAATGTTTCACTTGCAAAATGCTGTCAGCTAGAAGAATGGCAGAATGGCTTCTCATGAGCAGTCATCTCAAGTAGTGTTTGATAAATCCAATGGAAATACCTTCAAGCCACAGATACATCTGGGAAAGCTGGCAGCTCTTTATGGATACCTTGTGACCAGGAAGAAGGCAATATTTTTCAAGTTATTCATTAGAGTTTCAATTCTTGTCCTTATATGAAAGCAGGGAAAAAGTTCATCTCTCCAACTTTAAGTGTATGATGTTCTCTGGGTACCAAGGGGAATGTTGTATTGAG